CCAGGAGCTGACTCAGAACAACCCCCTCCAAGCTCCGTGGTGACAGCCCAGGAGGACAATGGGCCATAGGAGAAGCCAGACTCTGCAGGCCGAGGCCTGGCGGCTCAGACAAGGCTGCTCCTGGACAAGCAAAGGTGGCGGGCCCAAAGAGAGGGTGAGAGACGGGGGCACATCTGGGACTCCGGGCAAGTTCAGGGTAAGGGAAGGCAGCACCCAACGCTGACAGAGGACACCGTGTGCCGTCCCTGCCACCAGGCAGGGAGCCACTTGGCAGCCCAGCAACAGTGGTCCATTTCTAGACACAGCACACACTGGCCTCAGAATTACTGCCCACGAAAGCCACGGTCTCAGAACGGCACAGAGGCAACACTGCACTGTTTGCAGGGAGGCAGCCGGCAGGGCCACTCGGCATGCCCCTGGGTGCAGGACCCAGCTGTGTCCACAGAGAAGCAAGGATATGGCCGCAGGGCTCCCCTAGAAGGAGGGGACCCACAAAGCCAGCAGGACCCACCCCTCCCTGACCACCCACGTCTCCATCAATAGAAGCGTAGGCCTTCAACAAGTACCCTGCCCCTGCCCCAGCCACAGGGCACGGAAGCCACGGAAGGCGCTTCTGTTTCCGAATCCTCAATCCTCATGGGACTAAAGAGGGCAGTGAGAAAGGCAGACCCCCGAAGACAGGGTCTGACTCGGAGGGGTCTCCCGCGAAGCCAGACAGTCTGTGAGGTCAGAGGCACCGTGGCCATGGCTCTGCAGCCGGCTCAGGCTACTCAGTGGGAGTCAGACCAGGGCCGCACACTGTACCACCCCCATCCGCCACAGGCTTCGCCCACATTCCAACACTGGCCAGCACAGCTGGGACCAGGCGGTCACCTTGCTCAGCTCTTGCCCAGCGCCGGGCTTCGGAATGTGCTGGGAAGCAGGGAAGCCCAAAGACCAGAAGGGGCGGGAAGGAGGCGGGCAGGCCCAGGGTCACTCTCGGGGAGGCAGGGAGCTGCCCCTGGGCCCATGATGCCCAGCGCGGCACGGCCCGCAGCGATCTTCATTGATACCACCTGCATCCAATCGTAAGTGCTTCCAAGTGCCATCACACGTTTCTCTGGGAAGACAAAAACTCAGTGGAAACAAACCCGGGCAACGAGAAAAGCGAAGGCAGATAATTTCCAGGCAGAGCCACAGCCGCAGGGGCGGGCTCCCGAGCCAGGGCCGGCCGATGCACTCTGCCCTCCGCCTCCGAAGAGCTCTCTGTTCCTAGCTCGCTCGCATCAACTGCAGCCACCAAATTCAATTTGCATTCCCAGATAAACACAGGCCACTTGGTAAACACTCTCATCTGACCTTGAGATGTGAGAAGCAGAGCTGCTAATGCCCTATCACAGTGAGTCACCCGCTCCCCACGCCCGCCCCAGGATCAGTTCCAGGCCTGTAAGTGCACAGGAGACACGGAAGGGCACAGCAGAGATCGAGGGCGGGCTGTGGCCAAGCGGCCTCCAGGGACCCCAGCCCTGCCTTCCAGGAAAAGAGGGACATTCAGGACAGTCCAGCACCACGGGCAGTGCTGGTGTCTGGGGACACTGCTGGCCTCTCGGGGGTCAGAGGTCACGTGCCCCGCCCTGCCACCTAACAGTGCAAAAGCCAGGAGTCCTGGGCCAGCAGCAGAGCCGCGTGGGGCACCGAAGGGCACCAAGCTTAACATGTGCCGGTTTCTGTGAATGGAATCCCAGGGCACAGACTGCCGCGTGCTCCGCGGGGCTCCCTGCTGACAGACGCCGCCCCGTGTGGGCCAGCGCCGAGACTGTGGACCCGCGGCCCTGCACAGGGAGGTTTCCAACCCCCAGCCTGTCCATAGAGGCATGGAGTAGAAACCCTGCCAGCAGGACCAGGGCGGAGACAGGAATCCATGTCAGCCCAGCCCAGCCATGGGCACGGCAAACACAGGAGTCCCACGCCCACATGCCTCGCCATCTGTCCCACAGGGCTCCCTGTCTGAGTGAGGCCACGTGGACATAAGCGCACAGGAAGGAGATGCAGACGTGTAGACTGCTAACTCCAACACGTGAACTGCCGTCAGAGGAGAAGTCTGGCGGTGTCCTCCAGCCAAGGCCAAGGACGATCGGGGGCAGGCCACCCAGGGACCATGGGCACAGTCAGGACCATGGCACGCAGCAGGCAGGGCTCACTGGCCTCTGCTGGCCCTCAGCCCCCACCTCCTGCCCTTTCAGGACCCAGGCTCCTTGTCTGCCTCTCTGGACACAAACTTCCAGAGAGAGGGCGCAGGAGGAGGGAAAACTGGGTCTGGGGAGGAGGAAAAGGGGCTGCTGGTGGCCAAGGGGTAGGTGGACGACAGCGGCTGTGTGTTCTACCAAAAGCCCACCAGGTCCCAACAGACCTGTCGGGACGCAAAGGCCCACGCCTCCAAGTAAATCCTGGGGGAAACGGACCTGGGAAGGGAGCCTGGGTTTCAGGAAGGGGCTGCCTCCAGGCTGCATCAGGCTGGGGACCCGCCCCACACAGAGTGTGAGGCTGTGTGCACAGTCCGTGTGTGTGACTGCGCAGGTGTCCTGTGTACATGTGTGAGTGTGCATAGGTGTGTGTGCATGTGTGTGTGTCACTGCAGGACTCCTGTGTACATGTGTGAGTGTGCACAGGTGTGTGTGTCACTGCAGGACTCCTGTGTACATGTGTGCATGTGCACAGGTGTGTGTGTGTCACTGCAGGACTCCTGTGTACATGTGTGAGTGCACGATGTGAGGCTGTGTGACTGTGCAGGTGTCCTGTGTACATGTGTGAGTGTGCATGGGTGTGTGTGACTGCACAGATGTCCTGTGTACATGTGTGAGTGTGCACGGGTATGTGTGACTGTGCAGGTGTCCTGTGTACATGTGTGAGTGTGCCAGGTATGTGTGCGTGTGTAAGACAGGCAGGAAGATGCAATGCCTCCAGCTGGGTGTGTGGCAGCAGCCTGAAGGGCAGCAGGCGGAGGTCAGGGCGCGTCAGCACTGAGCTGGCCCTGGTGCTGCCAGTCAGACGGTGTGAGTCCGTGTCCACGCGACAGAGCCGGGTGGCCAGCAGAAGGGCTGGGCAGGGCGGGCCTGAGGAGCGCGCTTCGGAGATGCGGCATTCAATGCGGCCGTGAGTCAAACCAGACAAGCAAGCGGGTGAGAGAGGAGGCAGGGGCACCAGCCGCGTCTCTGTCTTCGGAATCGCCCAATAGCCCAATTAGCAGCTCTGATGCCGCGGTGCCTGCGCCCCGGCGATCGATGGCCACCCGTGGCGGGAGAGGCAGTCGCCGGCACCTGTGCTCATCGCCGCCCCCCAGAGCCCGAGTCCCCGATTAACACAGCCCCTGCTCTCTGCAGATTCCCATTGATTTTGCTGTCCTCAACCCGAAGCTGAGAAGTCAATACCCAGGCGGGCGTGGCCCTGTCCTGGGGACTCTGCGTCCCCCGCCCTGCCAATCAGGCCTGCCCGGCACAGGCCCTGGGGGAGGCCATCTCTGTGCGTGTGGCACTGCAGGTAACCAGGGCCGACAGACTCTAAACGCTGTCACTGATGGAAAAAGAAACCCCTCCAATGCATCCCCCACGCGGAAAACAGCAGCGGGGAGAGAGCGAACGCTCGCTGGGGACGGCAGTCTCTCCCGCGCTGCTCCAGGGTGAGCCGCGTCTCCACGGTGACTTCCTGTTCAGCCCAGCGTGGGGCTGCGAGAGCTGACACTTGGCTGGAGAAATGCCAGCTCTGAGCAGTTTGCTTCTCTTGAACTTTAAGAACTGACTGAGACAGAAATGACCTTTAAAAGGCAGGGTTAGTGCTGGCTGGGCCGGCTGCAGCCGCCTCTGCTCACACAACATGACGCGACGCCGGCAAACGCGGCCAGGCCTCGGGCCGCGGCGGGTGGCCGGCGCCTGACGCACAGAAGGCCGTGCAGTGGGCTCAACACCCACCTCTGCTGGTGTCCTTGGGTGCGCAGAAGTTTTGAATGTTGCTAAAGCCTGTTTGGTTAGCTCTGCTCTTTTGCTGCCTGTGCTTGGAGTATCCTACGGGAAACCGTGACAGGGGCGGGCACTTGTCTGGCTGTCACAGCACCCACATCCCACCCTGCAGGGCCGCCAGCATTCTGCCAAGGCAGACGCAGGGAGACAGCAGCCATGGCTCGAGTACCTGGGTCCCTGCCTCCCAGCTCCCGGCTTCAGCCCAGCCCCAGCGCTTGTGGGCTTGTAGGGCATGAACCAGCAGCTGCGGGTGCACATGCCTGCTCGCTCGCTCTCTGCCTCTCAAACCCCTCACTCCTTGTTTGAACAGGAAGAAGCCGTTCCTTCATCTGGAGTCACAGGGACCGGCACCAGGGCCTCCTTCCAGGCGGTTTGGGTGGAGCCCCGCATGCAGGTTTCTGAACACGAAATGCTACAGAGCAGGCCCACGTCCAGTCTCCCATCGACCCAGGCCACAGCAGGAGCGAGGGACTCCTCCTCACCTCGTGACACCTCCCCCACCGGACGTGGGCAGAGTCCCGGGGGCGCGTGTGGCCTGGGCTGCTCCTGGCCGGAAGCGTCCCGGCGGCTGGCCCCAGCTCTGCACAGCTCTGCTCGGCTCCCATTTCTTTGGAGCCGCGTTCGGCACTGTGTGTGCCGTCCGGCTCCTTCAGGTCTCTGTTGGCCCACACGGCTCGCAGCGGTCTCACGGCCTTCCTGTGGCTGCGAGGTCACGCACGGGACCAGCACAGGACGCCCTTGCCTGCCCCGTGCAGCTAAGGAGCTGCTGACGGCCGCTCTGTTCCCTCTGCGCTTTTCCGGTCCCCACTGCGCTCACCTCTAACCTGCCACGCGCCCCCCGGCTGCTTTGGGTTTCACCTGCTCACTGCGTCTGGCTTATCACGGGGAAGACGCCTCGTCTGAGGCCTCTTCTCTTTCCGGTAACCACAGGCTATCAACTTCCCTCTGAGCACGGCTTTCTGCTGCACGCTCTACACCCCGAGAAGCCATGACGTCAGTTCAACTCACGGCAAGGTGGCGTCACCGGTCCCGTGACGGCCTCCGGCACAGCGGCTACTGAGAATCTCGCCCGGCCCTGCAGCTTCCCTCCTAACACACCTCGTGTGATTCCAGGCTCGGCTCTGTAGTGCAGTGGGCTGAGCTACCACCTGGGACACTGGCATCCCAAATGGGCAGAGGTTCGAGTCCCGGCTGCTCCTCTTCTGCTCAGGCTCTCTGCTAGGGCCTGGGAAAGCAGTAGAAGATGGCTCAAGTGCTTGGGCCCCTGCACCTGCTTGGGAGACCAGGAAGAAGCTCCTGCTCCTGGCTTTGGATCGGCCCAGCTCCAGCCACTGTGGCCAACTGGGAAATGAACCAGCAGATGGAAGACCTCTCTCTCTGTCTCTCCCTCTCTGCCTGCAACTCTACCTCTCAAATAAATAAAAATAAAATCTTAAAAAGAGTGAGGTGCTCTGCGACCTGGCGAACGTCAGTGCACACGGGGCACGATGAGTCCTGCTCGCTGGGTGAGGCACCCACAGACGCCTCCACCTCCGCTGCCTCGGCCAGACACGGAGGGAAAGCCCTGCCTCCCACACGTCTGATGTCTGCAGCAGCCCTGGCGCCCAGACCGAGGGGACAGCAGCACCCAGGGCGGCCCACGCCACACAACCAGACCGCGGCGTGCAGCCGCCTCCCTGTCGCACGCGCTGGTGCTGGGGCCCACGCAGCATGCCCGAGAGTCGGACACAGAAAAGCAGTCAGCACAGGGGGAACAGGCGTGCAGCCAGTGGGACAGAAACGGCAGAGCGCTGCACGCAGGAGGTCCCGCCCCAGGACATCACAAGACTGCACAGGACACAGGACCCACGCTCCAGCTGTCCTGCCCACAGCAGCCACAGGCAGAGGATTCGAGATAAACCCCGCCTCTTTTCAGGAAAGGAGTGAGGGTGGCCATGCCAAAGCCACAGCAGGGAAGCCGGCTCCAGTCACAGGAGCAGAAAAGTCCGGTACCAGCACCACGCAGCTGAACGCACGCTGGACGACACCCTGGCGGCCTCCAGGTCTCCCGTGGCGAGTCACTAGAGGAGAAAGCAGGGACAGCTCGTGCAGCCTGAGCCAGGTCCCATGCCAGGCCCGCCTCCCTCAGAAAGGCACTGTGCCCACAGCCCCCACCTCTGGCCCCTCACAGCCCTCTGCTCTGCCACCCTGTAACCCCGCAGAGTGCCTCCCCAGAGCCATGGACGTGGTAGCTTAGCCCACTATACTACAGAGCCGAGCCTGGACGTCCACATGGGGACGTCTCCCCAGCACCTCCTTCCCCCAAGGGCAGAGCAGCCAAGATCAAGGAGGTGCCCAGAAATTCTGTTTGCAATGGACATGGGATGATGACTGGCAGAGCAAGGGCATCAAGGACCAGGGGACAGCACGGGCATCGACCACACCCAGGTGCCATCATGCGCTGAACCCAACACGGAAACAGGTGTGCAGGAACAGCAGCGCCCTCCCAGGGGGAGCTCCGGTGTCTCCATGCCTGTGGGACCAACATCGGGCGCCTGGCTCCTGGGCACTGAGCAGTTCCCAGAGGGGAAGCCACCATGGGTCTGCAAGAAGGCACGGCCCACGAGAGCAAATCCTATCCATGCCTGTGCCAGGGACCCAGGAACACGTGGGGAGGAAGGAAGCTCCACCACACCAGCCCTGGTGCCGCAGCCCCCTGATGGCATGGAGGAGGGGCCCAGCGGCGCAGGGTGGGGCACCCGCCGAAGAGGCACCGAGCATGGAGCCAGAGCTGCCGTGCAGAGACGCGGCGAGCAGCAGGGGAGGAGAAGCGTCTGTCAGCAAGGCCTTGAAGGTGAGCCAGTGAGGCAGCAGGGACAGAGGCCGGGGCTGAGGCCCCCTGGGGAGAAGCGCGCTCGGCCAGTGCAAGCACTCACATACAGGCAACCCAGCCAGCCCCAGCGCTCACTCCTCTGCATCAAACAGCACGGCCACAGCCGGCGCCAGGCCCCAGACGGCCCGCGGAGCTGCTCCGAGCCAGGACCGTCGCCGTCCTCCTGTGCACCAGGACCCTGTGGCCTAGGAAGGCCAGGAACGCAGACCCGGGCCTGCGCGGCTCGCGGGCTGGATCTGAGCAGACGGCGACCTTCCTGCTTGCTGTAGCAGACGGGACTGCCGCTGTGCTGTACCCGACATGAAACGTTGGGAGACATGACAGAAGAAGCACCCAAAACACGAAAACCAACGGGAAAGCCTGGTGTGCCATCTGCGGGCAGGCGACTTTCAACACAGACACAGAGCGCAGAAGGACACCCGACAGGCGGGGGCGGGCACGTCGGCACAGCGCCAGTCGGAGCCCAGTTCCCAAGCAAGTTCAGGTAAGAACAGAACCAGGCAGATGTCGGGAAATATTTGTTAAAATGCAGAGAGAGGGACATACAGGCCCTGGCATACAGCAGGCACAGTCACGTCGGAGGACCTCACGCTCAGCCAGCACTCGGCAAGCAGAACAGAGAAGGCACGCTGTGCGTCAGAGGGTCATGACAACGCGGCCAGCACCTATCAGGCACGCGGTACAATCCCTCCCACCTCCCAGTGCTCGGCCCAAACGTGTGCCCCCAAAACTCTTCCACTTCTCATCTTTACATTTCATTTTATTTATCTGAAAGGCAGGCAGAGAGAGACAGAGACAGAAAGGTCTTGCACCCACTGGCTTATTCCCCAAAGGGCGGCAGCAGCCAGCACTCGGCCAGGCCAAGGCCAAGGCCAAGGGCCAGGAACTGCATCGGGGTCTCCCACGTGGGTGACAAGGCCTAACCGAGCCGTCACTGCTGCCTACCGGCTCGACGGCTGGCAGGAAGCACAGGAGCCGGGACTCGAAACACACGATCCCACACGGGACGCAGGCGTCCCAGGCCGCACCAGACGCCGCGCCCCGCGCCCCGCGGAAAGGCCACCCCTGCTCCGTGCACACAGCCAGAGGGCGTCGTCTGTGACCTGGAACACAGCCCTCGGCCCACGCCGGCCAGGCTCGCCAGCAGCCCTGTCTCGCACCTGCATCTGATACAAACCCAGCCTTGGTTACCGCAACAAAAGGGACCGAGACACACACCTGGAGTCAACAGACAGCCTTGGTGGGGCAAAGGTTCAGATGGAACACCCACTCTAAGGGAAATGCTGAAGGCGCTTAGGCCGCGGGAAGAGAGGGGCTTTCTGCACCACAGCATCAGAACAGCAGCTCCGGAACCAAGGACACCCCAGTTCAGAGCTGCCACCTGGAAGGCAGCAGGCCGCCTCACCCCGCTGGCGGACTGCAGGGGTGCGTTGTGCCGTGTCTGCTCTGTGCACGCAAACCACGCTGCACTACAAGGCTCTTCTGTTACAGTAACAGTAAGACGAACGCACCAGTTCCACCGAACGGAAATCAGATTCGAGGATGCAGTCTGTTCACGAGGGAAGTGGCGTTCTCAGAACCACAGCAAGCACCCCTCCCCCCTGGCGCCCTGGCACCGCAGCCTGCACGGGACCGGCCCACCTGAGCCTCGGCCACGCCCAGTGCGCTCCCGCAGCTCCGCAGGGCCAGACCCCACGTACCACCCCTCAGACCCTGTCGCCAGGAGCTAGGCACAGGAGCCGCACGTGTGGAGGATCAGCCAAGCATCGACAGAGCCGCACTCGGCCGCGGCTCAGGACTAACAGAGTCCTTGTCGCGTGGTAATTAAGGAGCCAAGGAGCAGAGCTGCCAGTGCCCCTAATTACAGACTCCAGACAAGCGGCTCCGTCAGAGGCACAGGCCCGACAGCGGCTGAGCGGAGACAGCCGGGGCCCACGCCAGTCACTCTCGCATGGTGACAGTGCCTCCTGGGGGGGGGCCTGTGACGCCACCAGTGAGTGATGGAGCAGACACCCCAAAACTGCCCGACCTGCCCAGACTGCAGAGAGGAGTGCAAGGGGACAGAGGGCCTGGGCGATGGGAGATGCGGCAAGGGCTGCGAGCTGAGCACAGGCCTTCACAGAGCCCGGGGCTGTGGCAGAGACCGCCCTGGTCAGGGGCCTCCCTGAAAACCCAACCGCAGGCACGAGGGGCAGCCAAGCTTGAGGGGACCCTCAGGGCGACACACCTGGGAACACCCAGGACGGGACACTGGAGGGACTGGGAGCCGTGGGAAGGTGTCACACGTACGACTCTGCAGAGGGCAGAAGGGCCGTGTGTACAGCGAGGCCTCGCGTCTGCAGGGCGCCGTTCGCCCCAGGAGGCAGGGAGCACGCTGGCAGCCGCCAGTTCTGGTGTCTGGGAGCAGAGCTGCTGCGGGCAGGCAGGGGCTTTCCGTGTACTCCAGCAAACAGTGTCCAGCTCCACAGGGACAGCCTGAGCGCCTTCCGTAGGGACTGCGGCCCTCGGGGCCTCCACAGCCTCCCCACGTGCGGCGCTGTCGCCATCTGTCGCCCTTCAGCCCTTCTCTCTGCCACTCCCTAGGACACCCCGTGTGCGCGTCCTCTTCCTCGCTGTGTCCTCTGTGGTGACACGGCTGCAGGTCTCCTGTGCATTTTAAATCAGGCTCAAACTCCTGATCACGGAAGCGACCTGCAGATGTGTCCCGGTGGGTGGCTGCCTTCTCGTGCCCTGAGTGACAGTCTATAGGGCCGGCGTTCGGACAGAGGCCAGGTGCTGCCCGGGACACCGCATCCCGGCAGAGTGCCTCGACAAAGTCCTGGCCGCACCTCCAATCCAGCTCCCTGCTGGTGTCCACTGGGAGGCAGCAGTGAGAGGCCAGGAGCCTGGGCCCTGCCACCCACATGGGAGACCCAGATGGAGTTCCCAGCTCCTGGGCTGGAGATGGGAGATCTCAAGATCTCTCTCTCAAATAAAACTTAAAATGTTTTAAAATTCAAAGGAAACCAAAATCTAAAAAACAACAGTATCTTTCCACAGAGCGAAAGCTAATGAGGCGAATGTATCGACTGTTTCCTCTTGGTGCTGGATCCAGAGCCTCACTGCCCTAGGCGGCCTCCACGCAGCCCCGGGGCCTTCGGCGATCGCCCAGCAGGCAGAAGAAAGCAGGCGGCCCGAGACGAACGCGCGGAAATCGCAGGTTCTCTGAAGGCGCTCGTGCCCTGTGGGCGACGATCGTGTGTGAGACTCCATCCTCGGGAAAGAATCGGTGACTATGCAGGCAAAGACGGGGACACGTGTGAGTCCGGATGGTATTTAACGTGGTGACTAGATCCCTACCAAGGAGAGCCTACCTAAAAAGCACGTATAGGGAGAAGGGCCTGCAGTCTGAAGGTTGTATTTAATTTAGAAAACGCTCACAAAAGA